TACCACATACATACCACCTTCCAATACTCTAAATGTTAAAATAAACACTTTGATTCAAGATCCTAATACTGTTGATAATAATAACAACAATATTGACACTAACAACAACAATAGTAATAGTAACAACAATAATAATAATAGTGATAATAATAGTAATAGTAATAGTAATAGTAATAGTAATAGTAATAGTAATAGTAATAGTAATAGTAATAGTAATAGTAATAATAGCAATACAAATTCTCCAAACATAGATGACACACCAATTTTAATAAACAATAATTAAATGTTTTGTTTTTTAATGAACTTGATCAACTACATATTTGAGATCATTTATATTTAAATATTTAATAATAATATTCCACTATGCAGAATTTACTACTGTTATTAATTAATTGAAGGTAAGTTTACTCCAGAGACTGCAAGAGTATCAAGTTAGTATCATTGCCACATTATTATTTCTTATTCTTGTTCTCGCCATCAATCTAGTCTCTGATATTTGTTGAAAACTTTCCGTTTAGAATTAAATTGGCGAATTTGGTGATTGAATATGTTATATGAGTAAATATTTCTTAGCGAGAGTAATATATGTAGAAAGATAAATAAATAAATGATCAAACATTAATATATTCTAATATCGATGCAAGACGACTACGAGCGCCAATAATAAGGAAGAAAAAATCCGTCAACCAATCAATTTGCCCAATTAATTAACCAATCAATTGATCTTTTTGTTGCCTAAACCATTCAAACAATTGGTTTTTTTTTTTAAAAATTTTTTAAGGGGCAAAATAATAAATAATTTTTTCTTACTATTATATATACTTACAATTTTGTAATCTCCATTGCAAATTTGAGAATTGAAACATTCTAACCAGAAGTTAAACTCGTTTAACCTTGTAGAAATTGTTCAAAGGCAAGCAAGAAACACAACTTCGATATTATCACCTGAAGAAATGCTGCAAAATAAAAGAAGTAAACAAGATAAACGTGAAGAATTTCCTGGGTAAGTGTTTTAAGGATGGTGGTGGTGGTGGTTATCGCCCGCTACTCGTCGTCACTCTAGTTTTATATATAACTTTGTCTTTTTCATTTACTTAGATTTACAACCCAAATCATAAGCAGATTGGGGGAGGTACTTGGAGAAGGAAATCACAATACCTACAAAAAAAATTTAAAGAGGCAAACCAACAAAATGTTCAAATAGATTTTGTATTAGTCTACACTTGCAAAGTCTTTTTAACACTTGGACATCTGGAAATGATATAGTTGATATAACTGCAAAATTTTTATTGATATTATCTAATTATATATAAATATAATTTATTTATATAATTGTAATTAATTTGCTTTTTGCAAAAGATTGTAAATACTTTAATAACAATATTAGAAAATATGTATGATAATAATCATAAAATTAAGATTTCTTTATTATAATAAATAAAAAGTTATTTCATGGGAAATTAGACATTTCTCAACGAATGAAAAGTGACCTTCCTTTCTACGTTCCAGAAGAGAGTTCTAAACTTCAAATTATTAAAATCATCAAATAGTCTTGTTGCTTGCCCATATTATTTGATTGAAGTGATGGATGGTAAATTAGGAAAACTGGCAAAGAGAAAGAAATATACGAGAAGTTCAATATAGAAAAAGAATAAAACAGGTGGATGGAAAGGAAGAGGATGATAAAGAAGATGAACAGAAGATATTAATATTAATAGTGATCTTATTATTATTGATAATGATAATCAAAAAAAAATAGTATACGAGTATTTTCTTCTCCATGTAATTGCTCTGGTTGTTTTATCTTGTATAAATTATTATGTACTGTTTGAATCAAAATAAAATATAATTTCTCTTTGTTGTTTAATCCTTTCCTTGTAACAATACTCGTGATGGTTGTGTAAATACATTTATTTAAATTGTAATAAATACTTGCAACAATAATACCAAGCCATGCGATTTTGAAAAAAGCCACATAATATCCTGACAAGAAAACTTGTTAGAAAATAAGCTCTTTGATATTTTTGTTCGCAGGCGATAAATAAAAATGAAATGATTTATGTTGTACATGACTAACACATTAACTTGGAACTTGGTTTTACTATTGATTTTTAAATTTTTTTTCTAACAGAAAATATTTAACTAATCTTAATTTTATAATTTAAAAAACTATCCGACTAATAATAATAATGTGTCTTTAGTTGAAGCAAGTAACCTACTGTGATTTTCGGGATCGAAGTTGATGAATACGAACAAATGATTTTTTTAAGAAATTTTGTAGGGGTGATGGTGGTGACCAAGAAAAAAGGTTTCAGATCGATAATGTCATACAGACTGTGGCGGTTCGTTTAGGAGATGGTTGTAAAACTGTTCGAGATTTGTTCATAATGTTAAATTTCTTTCATTTGCTTTTTAGCTAACATTAATACAATCGACCAAGGTTTTTTTCGTTAATGACGATGACGATAATACTAACACCGTCATCAATAATGACAACGACGACTACATGAGCATTGGTTTGATGAAAAGAATCTATATACAACGGAGCCAACGAAACAAAAAATTTCGAAACGAATATATTGGCATCGTATCCTATCAATTCTAGGTGAAAAAATTTTCTTTTGCAATTAAACTAGCATATAAACTATATTAGATATAACGAATATATTTATGTAAATGGTTTATTTATTAAACTCCAATACATCAAGGACAATCTAAAAAGAACCGCAATTTCAACAGTTGGCAAATTGGTACCAGGCGAGAATGATTTACGTATCCGTTATCACCATCGTCATCGACAATACTGCAATAACAAAAAAGGTTGACAAGAATTGAGCAGCACTAAAAAAGCTAGCTTGAGAACGCATTCATCCAATCAAACGGTTTTGAGTAGAACAAAGCTCTCTGAAAAACTTGAACATCAATTGTGATGGATTGAAAACTTTAATGTAAAATTTTTATTACCGTGATAAATGCGATTCAACAGTGACCTTTTTTTGTATAAAAAAATTTCCAGTCATCCATGATATCATGACTTTTGCAGAAAAACACACGGTTATACATACATCCATGTTACATGTTTGTTAGAACTAACAACAGCAAAAATATTAATGATTGCAATATTCGATTTAAAACGTTTTCTTATTAGAATGATACATTCAATTTAATAAAAATCAAATCTTTATAAAAACATAAGCAATTCTATATATAATATCGTTTCTTGATTTCGAATTAAATATTAACAATAACTGGTGTGTATACTTTTTGAGGATATGTATTTGACTTTCGGCTATACGAGGCACAAGATGAATGTTGTTGTGGTGCAACATTAGATCTCACTCTTTCCTGCACAAATAGAATTCCACTATGAAGCAACTTGCTTAGATGTTACAGAGTAAAGAGTAAAAGGTCAGTAATGATGGTCAAAAAGTTTGCATTTTCTGTTGGTAATAATACTTTTTGATTTTAGATTAAAACCAAGTCCATCGTAAATATTATAATCGCATTTTCTGTTAAATTTATATCTAGTTAATAGGTAATAATGATAACTTAATATTCCATAAGTTTCAAGACCATCTATGTAACCATAACGATCTATCATGTCAATCTAATGACCCCTCACACACGACATATAGATATAGATATATATTGTATTAAAACGAAATATCGAGATGTCCAAGTTTGTTGATTTAATCTCTAACGTGAGATAATAATTTACTATAATTCCTAGCCTATTTTGTACAAGTATAAAGTTAGCAGTAAGATTAAGAAACGACATGTTTCCCGTGTTACTATTATTATTATTATTATTATTATTATTATTGAAAAAAAGAGATCAACAGTCGACTTCATTTATTTAGAAAAAAAAGGTATTACAACAATTAGATAATTCTTTTCTTGCGTCAAATTCTAATAAAAACATGAGCAATATTAAAATTCAATGTATTTCAATTATTAATTATAAAGTAGGTTACAATTTCCTTAAATCAATATGCTGTTTCATTGATACAATTTTTAAAATATAAATATAAATAGAATTAATAAGATAAAAAAATATATGATTTATTTTTATTTTTTTATAAATTCTTAAAAGAATAATCCTTTATATATTAAAAATTTTAGCACCACACATCCCGACTTAAAATATCATTATATAGCACATACATCATGTGATGTAATTGAAGAAAGAAGTAAATTTTCTAAATTATCAGAATATTATTACTATTATTATGAAGAGGAATGATTTCTTTTGGAGATATTAATTAATTATCATTATAATCTTTGCTATTATTATTAGTAAGTGCTGGATCGGAAGCAACTGATACATACCTTGGATTATTATATGCAATGGAAGATTTGGCTGTGTAAGTAGTGGTTACGTTTGTTATTATCATTATCGCCATCATCTTCTTCTAATTCTTTTCATTAGAACAAATCATTTAAAATTTATTATTTAATTATTCATTTATTAGATATGGATTTATAACAAACACACGTGTAAAATTTGTTGTTGTGTTATCGGTACCTGACGCAGTTATTAAGAATTCTGATATGAAAAATGTATGTTTCATGTTATTGTTTCGTTAAAACAAAATTTTTTTTTCTCTCATCTAATTTTAATCTTGATTTATTAAAAAAAAAAAAAAGATATTTAGGAAAATTCATACAGCGTATATAAATAGAGTATGTAACCCATTTTATATTATTGATGGTAGAAAATCTATTGTTAGTAAAAAATTTGTAGCAGCAATTGAAAAAATTGGGAAAATGAATGAAGAAGATTTAATTAATTAATAGTAATAATATTAATAGTAATAATAATATTATTATAAAGTCAAGTGAACAATTTAAAATCTAATAAATTAATAACTAATTTAATAAAAATGAATATTAAAAAACAAAAAAAGAAAATTTACAAATTATTATTATATTAATGTTATATATAATTGTCTAATAATATTTTAATATACATTCTAAATGGAATTAATTGATTAAATAAATTATCTTCCATATTTAAGTTCAAGTCTTTTCTTTTCCTCAGGTGATAAGTTGAATAATGTAGAAATTACTGGCAAAAGTGCTTTCTATTAAAATAATATTTGCAAATTAATTAATTAACAAAAAACCCTTTCATAAATAAAAAAAACAAATTAATAAAATTACATACTCTTTTGTCTCTATGTTCAAGAAACTTGAGAAATACGTCTTTGAAATAATTAACTTTAAGATCATCATCTAAATTTGAGAATCCTGAATCAGCCAAAGGTGAAGTTGCGGATGATATTGAGTGACGTGGATAAGTAGGCGATGATGGTGAAGTTGGTGCACTGCGATCATTATTGTTGTTGTTGTTTGTAGACACCTTTTGAAGTTTTCGAACTTCTTCTCTAAGTGTCTAACATTATAATAAATTTAATTCATAAAAAAGTTTCATACAAAAATAATAACACAACAACAATAATAACATGAATTAAATTAAATTACTTTATTAACTGTTTTTAAATGACCTTCTCTCATACGGTAATCTTCCAACGTTTTTTCATACTCTTCTTTATTATTTCGTATTGTTATTTCATATTCATTATATTTTGTCTGAATGTCATTCATTCAAAAATAAAAAATTAAATTATTAATATTCATAATATTCATGTAATTACTTTCTAAAATCAACAATTTAAAAGTTATAAAACCTACTGATTTTTCTTGTGCGTTATTAACTTCATTTTGCATATTTTTGATTTCTTTCTCTAAATCTTGTATTTTGTTCTTAAATGTTTGATTTTCTTTTGATAATAGTCCAATAGTAGAATCTTTCTCTTTAGAATTTACAATCAATTTTTTTGTTTCCGCTTCGCTAGCATCAAGTCTATTCATTAAATCTTGTACTTTAGAATCAAATGATTGCCTAATTTCTCGTAATTCTAATTCAATTTTCTCTTTTTCTTCTTTATAAGTTTCAATTTGTGATTCCATGACTCTAAATTTTTCTTTAGATTCATGTTCCATCTTTTCAATATCGTTCATTAATTTTTCATTCTCTCGTATCTTTTCTTTATGTTTTTTTTTAATTGAAACCAATTCTTCCTCTAAAGCTTGTGATCTTTCTTCAGCTTCTTTCATTTGATGTTGGATTTCATTTGAACGATGTTCGAAGTTCTCAAGCGTTGTTTGTGATGATTCAAATTCTGCTTGTCTAATTTGTAGCTGCTCAAATAATACCTGTTTTTCTTCTGATATTTTTTCATTTAAAGATTCAAGTCGAACGATTTGTGTTGATTTTGCATTCAATTCCTTATTGAATTTGGCAATCTCTTGTTTCAAGCCTGAAATTACATTTTGCTCTGATGCTCGTGCATTATCTTGAGCACGTCCAACTTCTTCGTTTAAATCCTTCTTCTCCCTTTCAAGGCTTATTATTTTTTGTTGGGTCTTTTTAAGTAAAGCAAGTGATTTATTACGTTTATCTTCTTCTTCGGCTACTTGTTTTTTAAGATTTTCAATTTCTGCTTCGTGACTTTGAATCGTTTTATTTGCTTCATTTAATGATTCTTGGAGAACACGTTCTCTTTGTGACAAATATTTAACTTTAGATTCTACATCTGACAATTTCTCTAGGGCATCTGTTTTTGCTAAATGAAGACGAGCACTGTCGGATTCAAGCAAGACATAGTTCTTTTCTGTTTTAGCTAATTTCTCTAGAGCATCTGTTTTTGCTAAGTGAAGACTGGCATTGTCAGATTCAAGCAATTCATAGTTCTTTTCTGTTCTAGATAATTTCTCTTTTATCAAATGTAATTCGTCATCCAATTGTGTACGAGATTCTAGTGATTTCTTTTGCACATGTTCTAAATCTTGAATCAAACTTTCTTTAGTTTTGACAAGATCATCACGTTCGGTTGTTAGATCTTTTATTTTTTTCTCTAATTCGATTATTTGAGTATTTTTATTTGATAATTCTGAATTTACTTCTTTATGCTGTATAATAAGATCTTCGTTTTCTTTTTCCAACTCGGCATGCTCTTTACTTAAAATATCGGGTGGGGTATCCTCCAGGGAATTCATGGTGTGGGAGTCCTTTGATCAAAATCTTTATTATTATTTTAATCTAAAGAATTAAATTAGTGTAACTTCTAATACTAAAATTTTTTAATTAACAACAAAAAGGATTTTTGTTTACGAATTATATAGAATAAAAAAGTTATGTAACACGTTAATAAAGTTAAAATTTTTTTCTTCATATTTATTTACTTTTTTTAATTAATGGCATTTTACATTCTTTATAATTTACAATTTAAATTACATATAAAATGACTTTTGACACACGTAGATTTATAGAACGCTTAATTAATGTGTATACAGCACCTAATGACTCACAAGAAAGTCGTTTTCTACTTATTCTAAAGTCAAATATTACAGTTGGAGTTGATTTATGGATACAATATAAAAAACGTACAACAAACATAAACACAAGAAGAGTAAATGATGGTAATAATAGTTCACCACAACAATCCTCCTCCTCCTCTTCCTCGTATAATGAGAAAGAAGTGATTAAACAATGGGATGAATCACCTACTTCTTCGTGTGGCATGGATGCATTTGTCACACTGTTAAATCCATCTTCATATAATCCAGAATTGTTCGAGTGTTTGGCCGAGGCAGTGACACCTTCAAGGGAGTTGGTTATACGTTGGATGGCACCATATCTTCGACGATTTAGTAAATACATTCCGCCACAGAATATGTGGCTTTGCGATCAAAAACGTATGGGACCAGAATATATGAATAGAGATGTTGGGGAAATGTATTTAAGACAAGGAATTTGTGAATGTGTAGATGTTTTGAGACAATTTAATGGTAGAGAAGAAGTAATTCATGTTGCATTAAATGTGTTGGAAGGTTCTGAAATGCCAATGTATTTAAAGGTGATGTTAAGAGGAATATCTGATGAAGAAACTCCTTGGTGAAGAAATTAACTCTGATAAAAAAACGACAATGATGGTGATAATGGTGACAATGATTATTGACTAGCTAGATAACTAGATGTTTTGTGATAATATTTATTTATTTATTTTTACTTTATTTATTTCTTAATACAGTAACGACTATATAATTTGATTGTTATTACTTTCATCATGAAATCCAAGATTTTTCATGTCGTCAGAAAGCATTAACCCTCTTTTCATAAAAAACAAAATAAAGAGCATTAGAAAAATTAAACAGATAAATAAAAATACAAGTAATCAATCAAAACTTTACTTTTCCATTCGACATTTTAAATATGATTTTGATAAATGCCTACAATTTCCATTATTTCCATTATTTTGTTTTAAACATTTTAAATATTCCAACATAAGTGTTTTACACTCACCTTTAATATAATATTTATATTTATATTTAATTACAATTTTAATATTTAATATTTTAATATTTTAATATTATTTATTACCTTCATGATCCAAAGGAAAACTTCCACGTTCAGGTGGAGTTATTTTGTAAATATCAATGTTGGGTGTTCTACCAAATGACATTTTTTATTATATTCATCAATTCAATAATACGTGCAACTTTTTTATTTGACTGTAATGCGTAATTTTTTTTTGATTGTAATTGCATGCACAAAATTTTTTTTAAATGGAAAAATGCGTAAAGTCGATCTTAAAATAAATATTTAAAAATTTGAATTGATTGATAGTTTCTTCACTACCCTTTTTTTTATCAACAACTGCACTTTCTTTATCATCATCTCAATAGCAAAAACAACAACAGATTGATATTCAAGATGTTGCCTTTTACTCAACGTATGTTACCTCAACAAACTCCGCAACAACAATATAATACTATTGGAATACAAGGAAATGCAAAAATCTCTTGGGCTGTTACCCCAGAAGAAAAAGCTCAATATAAAGAAATATTTAAACAATGGGATGCTACAGGTTTAGGTTATTTAACTGGTGATAAAGCAAGAGAAATTTTTTTACAATCTGGTTTACCTCAAACTGATTTAATGCAGATATGGTATGGTTGTAAACATATAAAATTTTTTTTAAATTAAAAAAAAAAAATTTATAATAATATTATTTAATATATATAATATAAAATCAAGGCATTTATCTGATCCAAATAATAATGGAAAATTAAATCAAGATGAATTTGCTGTTGCAATGCATTTGATTTATAGAAAACTTAATGGTTATGAAATTCCTACCACACTTACTGCTGAACTTATACCACCTTCGACGAGAGATTTGACAGAAAGTGTGGACATGCTCAAAAATTATCTTGCGTCTGATATTCATAATCAACAATTAGGCACTGGTGGTGGTTCCAACAATTATTATTTGAAATCAAGAAGCTTTACTAATTTACCAGTAACTAGTCATAACGATGCAACAAATTATAAACATAAAGATGATGACATTGGTTACGTCTCTTCGTCAAGATATAAAATTCCCTCAACATCACTGTCGTCACGTAATAACGATTCTGAATTTTCCTCTTCATATTCATCTTACTCCTCCTCCTCATCATCATTACCATCATATTCTTCTACTTTCAAACGACCATCATCTATTGGTGAAGATAGGTTATCATCATCATCATCATCAAAAAGAATAGCAGATTTAAAAAAACAAATTCAAGATAAAGAAAATATATTAGATGCTTTAAAATTTTCAGAAAGTTCAAATTACAACTCAAATTCTTTTAATTCTTTAGCATTCAACAACAACAATGATGATGAAATTAATGAATTGAAAATAAAAATTAAAGATATTCAAAAACAAATTGATTCTGCGCAAAAAAATAACAATGAAAAAAAATCAATAAAATCTTTATTGGATCAACACAATGATTTAGAAATTGAACTTCTTAATATGTTGTCCACTGTTATACCAGATCTTATTTCTGATACTCATGAAATTTATACAAAAATAGCAGAATTAAAAATAGAATTTTTTAAATTACGTGGGAGTAGTAACGGTGAACTTGACATTAAAGCAAAAGCTCAAGCGATGATACAAGCTCGTCTAGCTGGTAAACCATATTCTTTTACTAGTAGCTTCACTGGAGGCAATGGTGGAAGTGGCGTTATAGACCCTGGAAGATTGGAAGAAGAAACGAATCGAATAAAAGCAGAAAAGGCTTCTCGTGATCAAACTATTAATGATATTGAGAAAACAATATCTAAATTACAAGATTCTATTATCAAAATTTCACAGGAAAAACAAGAGATTGAAAACAAATGTAAACCAACAATTAATAAATCATCATTTAGTCAACCTAACAGTGACAGCAACATCCTTACAAGTCGATATACTTCTTATAACGCATCATCACATAAACCTAGTTCATCTATATCATCTTCAGATATCACCAGTGGTGGCAACAGAGATACATCATCACATAAATCTAGTTCATCTATATCATCTTCAGATACCACCAATAGTGGCGACAGAGATGCATATATTAAAGCACAGGCAGAGCGTCGAATGCAAGAAAGATTAAAAGAACTTGGTATAAAAGCACCATCTACTACTAATTCATCATCATTTGAAAAACCCTCGTCATCATCCTCATTATTATCGTTGCATTCATCATTACCATCAACCTCATCTGAAGAAGAAAGAAGAAATAAATGGCTAGCTAAAGAACAAGAATTGGAAAATAGAAATATTCGTGTAAAAGAAACCTTGCCACCACCGCAAACATCACAAAAACAACCACAAAAACAACTACAAAAACAACCACAAAAACAACCACAACCTATGCCGTCTCAAAAAAATATTTTTGATTCAGCAATATTAGTTCCACCTCCGTCTCCACCATCACCATCGCCAACAATACCAATTGCACCACCGCCACCACCACATATGCCTTCTTCCTCATATGCATCATCGATACCACCACCACCACCACCACCACCAATGCCTTCTTCTTCTCCTGCACCATTTGTACCACCACCACCACCACCTTCTTCCTCTTCTGCACCATTTGTACCACCACCACCACCACCACCAATGTCTTCTTCCTCTTCTGCACCGTTTGTACCACCACCACCACCAATGCCTTCTTCCTCAGGTGATAGAGGTGCATTATTAAGTCAAATTAAACAAGGAAAACGGTTAAAACCAGCAGAAACAAATGATCGTTCTGCTCCTAGTATAGCTGGTTAGTTTATAAAAATTATGATATTATAAATAATTAAATACAAATAATATAAATATAATTCTACATTTTATATATATCTCTTTTTAACCTAGGTGAAAGTGGAAGTAGATCATTAGGTCTTGGGGGTATATTTGCTGGTGGTATTCCAAAACTTAAAAACCGTGGCGGAGGAATTACAACAGGTCGCTCAATGACTGAAAGTAGTATTGATTCAACAACATCATCAGCGTCATCTGGTTCAACCACAATTACTAATAATAATTATAATGGTAATGATGATGATGACAATAATAGTGGTAACATTTCACCAAAACCTAGAAGTTTGGGAAAATCAGAGCGTAGAATTTCTGGTGAATGGTTTGGTAGTTTATCTTCTGATCAACTTGCAGTTGAAACAACCTCTTCACCAATATCACCAATATCACCATCATTTACTACCATTAATTCGGCAGCACAACAACCTACCATTCAAACATATAATACAGGAGATGAAAATGTTATATCAGGCGATGAAGTTGATTACAGTAAAGAATTCAAGGTTAAAACACTTTATCCATACTCAGGTGGCGTTGAAGATCTTAAATTTGATGCCGGTTCTGTATTCATTGCACATCCATCAAAAAATGAAAAAAATGCAGATTGGTGGTATGGTATTGTAGAAGAAACTGGCGCTAAAGGATGGTTTCCTAAATCTTATGTTGAAATTTATAAAGAAGGTAAAAAGATATATTGTAATATTGATATTTAGTTGTTTTTTTTTTCTAAACTAAAATTATAATTATAATACTAACTATTTATAACCATAATTATTATTGTTATAGAAAAGGAAATTTCTAAAGCAAAAGTTCTTTATGATTATGAAGCTAGAAACTCAGATGAACTTAACATAAAAGTGGGAAATATTATTTCCATACTTGATAAGTCATTAAATGATTGGTGGAAGGCCGAATATGAAGGCGTAAAAGGAATTATACCATCTAATTATGTGGAAGAAATTCTTAATAGTAGCGGTTAGTGCCTCTGAATTTAATACTATTAATAATATTTTTGGTATATGTTGATATTATGATTTTATTTTATTTATTTTATTGATTATTATCTATATACTATTTTTATATTTATTTATATTAGTAAATATGTAAATCAAAAAATCGTTATATTTTTTTTCTTTCCTTTTTGTAGACTGAAATTAATAATAATACAAAAAAGCACAAATGTAATTTTATTTATATAGATTTCTTTTATTTTTATTTTTTGGATTTTGAATTGGAATGTATATAATAAAAAAAGAATATATTTTTTTTTTGTTTCAACATTTTTAATTGTCTTTTATTTATTTATCTATGTATATATATATCTATATATATAATCAATTATAACGGCTATCACTACAAAATACAATATATTTATTTATAGATGGTGATGATGATGATGATTCAACAGATGATGACGACGATGATGATTCAACAGATGATGAAGAAGAAAACATTAATTATGGTGATGATAATAATAATATGACAGAAGAAACTTCAAAATTAAAAACGAAAAATAATAATAATAACTTAAGGCCATTGGATACAAATAAAAAAAAGTCATCATCACCATCAATAAATATTATAAAAGAGGAGAATAATGATAATAACGTTGATTTTAATTTTAATTTTAATTTTGATTATGATTATGATTACGATGATGATAATGAATCAGAAAAAAGTCCAACAAAATCAATTGATTCAAATTATTCTACTAATAACAATAATAATACTAACACCACAATTACTCCTACTACCAATACCATAACCATTCCATGGATTGGTGGTAATGGATCAGGACCAAGGATGATGAGACAAAATTCTTATGAATTTGGACTTTTATCAGCGAGTCATTTACCATCATCTAGACCTGGTAGTCCAGTATCACCAGGACAGGTAATGAATTTATTTTGGGGAGATAAAATACCAATTGTTTAAACTAAAACATTCATAAACATTCAAATGCTCACACTCAATCGAGCATATTTGTTTTTTTCTAGGGGCCTTCACCAATGACATGGTCAAGTGTAATGAATACAGAAAAAATAGAACAATTGACAAAACAAGAACAAAAAAGACAAGAAGCAATTTATGAATTAATCACCACAGAACGATCATATTTACGTGATTTACAAATGATAATACAAGTTTTTTATGGACCTTTACAACAAAGGCAACAAAATTTTTCATTGACAGATCAAGAACTTTCAACAATATTTTCAAACATCCAAGATATACTAATATGCAACACAGAGATTTTGAGTGATATGGAACAGAGACAAAATGAACAAGAATTCTTGGTTGAGTGCATTGGTGATGTAATGTTGAATCATTCTGATAATTTGAAATGTTACGTTGAATATTGTGGTGGTCAATTAAAATGCAGTAAGTTTTTACAAAAGAAACGTAGCGAGGATAAAAATTTTGATGAATTTTTGAAGGTATTTATTCTTCATTTTAATTTTAATTTTTTCTTATATTTTTTATAATTATTTATTTATTTTACATTATAAATTAGAAATGTGAACAAGATCCTCAATGTGGAGCATTAGGCTTGTCAAGTTTTTTATTGAAACCAATGCAAAGAATTACAAGATATCCTTTGTTATTAAGACAAGTAAGTACCAACTTAACATTTGATTAATACAAAAGAACATTAGAAAAGATGCTTAACATTCTTTTCAAATGATGATTAGATCTTACATTATACAACCAATGATCATCCAGATCATCAGAATATGATGAAAATATTACAAAATGCTGAAATGATATTAGAAGAAACGAATGAAGCAGCAAGAGAACAAGAGAACGATAGTAAATTAAGAGAAATATCAAAGTTGATTGATTTAGAAGGGTTGAATGAGGTATGATTTAATTAATTATGTATCACTATATGTAAATAATATAAATTATTTACGAAAAAAAATATTTGTTATTTTTTAGAAACTTGATTTAATAAGTATGACAAGATTTATGGGTAGAAGACAATTTTTACTTGAAGGTCCTTTAAGAAAAACAAAAAGTGGTAGAAAATTATATGGATATTTATTCAATGACATATTTTTATTATGTCAACAAAATAAGAATGCAATTTCAAAAGGTTATCAATATTCTTTGTATAAACCTGTAAGTTTTTTATAACGCCAAGATTATGCATAATGATATTAACGATAATGTTACTAATTATAATGATAATGATAATGATATTAATTTATTTAAAATAGCCAATGCCATTAAACGAAATATTTGTTAAAGAAGTTGGACATGGTATAAGAAAAATCATTATTATTATATGTTTTTTTTTTGTAAAATATTTATAAAATAATTTGTTAAATAAAAAATTTTTTTTTTTTGATGTTCTCAGATGGAACTTGTTTTCAAATTATTCATATACAACAACCAACGAACCTTAAAGCGAACGATATTTCGGTGAAAAAACAATGGTTAAATCATCTTAATGCTGCTAGTGAAACATGCATGAAAGCGGTTAGACAAGATCAAAATAGTAACAGTGAGCAAAATAAAAATAATTCGAATTATTAGAAAATAAAAATATTAATTCGTATTTTTTATTTATATAGAAGATTTAATTACACCAGTTGATAGTATTAATGGCACGTTAAGAGTCCTAATATCCGATGGAGTAATTGAATTAGATCCATCCGGTAAAAATAATAAGATTCATTTTTTTACTATTTGACATTCTTTTCATCATATTTAATACTAATATAATTAATTATAAAACATCTAGTTAATGAAAAAATTAATATTAATGTCTATTGCCAATTACAACTGAATAGACAAATATTTAAAACCAAAGTTATAAAAGATAGTTTATTTCCATATTGGAATCAGGTAAATAAAATAAACATTTAACATAAATAAAAATAATTTCTTAATTTATTTATTATTATATTTTTTAGTACTTGATGTTTTCAGTTACAACATTAGAAGATACATTAAAAATATCTATATATAATTATGATAAATATTCACAAGACGGTAATATAATAATAATAAGCTATAATATATATTTATGAAATCTTGATTGATGTTGATTTTTCTCCTTTTCTTTTAAATGTATATTTATAAAGAATTTTTGGGACAAGCAGAAATTGGATTAAAGTTTCTTGAATATTACCGTGATAATAATGAAACTGAATTAATAACCTTACCATTAAAAAATGTCGCAGCCGGAAGATCACTCGGAACAATTTCTATTTATTTAAGTTATAAAGCAACAAGATAATACAATTAATTTTTTTGTAATAAAAATCTTTAAACGTCACACAAATAAAATTTCAATAACCATATTTAAATCTAGCTTAAAATAAGATTTGTCCATTAATAACGTAAAATCAAACCAAGTACTTGATAATATCCGACCTTATCGAGTTTACCTGTGTGTATAATTTAAGACATCAAATTGATGCATTACGCGCCGAAATGACAAAAATAGCCAATCAATACATGATGACGAATTCAATCCACTAATTTTCGACCCTTAGTATTAGCAAAAATCAAAAAAATCAAACATCGAAAATCAAAGATCAAAATTGAAATCGAAGTCGGAATCAATTCTGTGACCCTGAACAGTTTCGGGAGAGAACCTACACTAAGCTTAAGCCTAAACGCCCACTCTAGCCCACCCTAAGATAATTTCGAGCGGGTCACGGCATTGGTTGAAATCAAAAATCAAAATCAAAATTGTTTGTAATTTATAATAATAAGAGGAAGGCACCAAAAATTGCATGAGCTACTTTAATAAAGATGTGGTACAAATTGTAACGATAGTAATTCACATGAAAGCCCTTATCCAATTGGAATCAACAGGGATGTTAAATATAAATGGTTGAGTCGGTTCGGTTCGGTTTAAAACCATGTTTAACGGGTCAAATTTCATATATAAATTAAATTTTTTGTCAAATTATTTATAAAATTAATAACAAAGTTTAGGTGCATTTGGTAATGTGATAATGTGATTTATATATGTCGGGAAGGAACAGGATTCTACCGGATGAAGAAGATATTAACCAGCCTATTGATTATTGTTACAGCAAGAAATTATATTGTGATTTAGAATCAACCGAAATGCTTGATGATGTAAATATTGTAGTAGTTCAAGAAGGAAGAAGAAGTGGAGATTTGGGACCGCCAACATCTAATAAAATAAATTGCTTTATTCAAATTTATATGATTATTTGAAAGGGAATAATGATATAAAGGTAAATAGTTCATTTGTTTCAGGATCGAGAGATTTAAAATTGGAAAGCAAATTAATTCTTTAGAACAAACTAGTATAGATATTCATTTAGATAAACAATTGTGGTTTTTCTATTTTATTAAATAAATAAATCCTTTTTTTACCCACAATGTTCAACGTCTGACTTATCAAATCTGCCTGTGTTATGACGAGATTAGTGTGTCCCGTGCATCCGTTGTGACAGAAACCGGTTTGATTTATTATGTTATCAAATTATGATGGTAGTTTTTGTTGAAATAATCTTTTTAGACAAGGAGAAGAAGAAGCACATCGAAGAGATTAATCGACAGTGGAAAAATTATTAAAACGGAATAACTGCGGATTTTTTTAATAATCGAGAAAGGAAACCGATCAAACTTAACCGAGCCTGATTAATTCAATTAATTAAACAATTAGTCAGTGATTACAAAAAAAATTATCAAAATTTGGTTAGTGAAAGCCAAATTTGTATATAATAATAACAACAATTGAATGAAAAGAATAGAAAAATAAAGAATGAGATGACAAGAAAAAAGAATCATTCACATCATTTGGGTAATTATCATAATAATAGATTTTTATTGTTCTTTACAAAATTCTTGATTGTTTTTATTTGAACTTGCTGCTACTACTTTCCTTTCATTTTTATTATTATTTCATTTCATTTTCCTCTTTTTCTTTCTCTTTCTCCTTCCGTTTCTTTTTCGTTTCCTTTTTAGATCCTGTTTCTTCCGAATCTCCTTTAGAAATTTTTTTAATTTTAATGTCAACTTTTAATTTTTCAATTGATGGATTACTTGGGTTTTGATTTTTTCGATTAAATTCAAATGTATAATTAAAATTATTGATTGAATCAGAGAAATTTTCAACGAGTGGGTTTTCAACAAGAAAGAATTTATCAGAATCTGGAAATGATACTTTAATAGTTTCTGCTATAAAATTATCATATGTATGGACTGGTTTTTTTAATTTAATTTTAATTAATTGGCTTACTGAGCAGCCTGTGGGATCGGTTACTGGACTAGTAACTGGTGCACATAAAATAATAAATCCAAGTAATTTTCCAATGAATTCACAAACTTTTCTACCATTCTTTCCACCAGGAATCATATTTTTTATACCCATAAATAAACTAGGTTCCATCACACTAATATTTTTTTCTACATCACCATTTGCGTCATCAAAATATCTATACATCAAACACCATGATATGATTGCTCTGTCAACGTGGGTTAATCCGGGAGTGTTACAAAGTGGTCCACCCGCAAGTGGCAAAGTAAAACCGCTGATTGGACGTGCTTCTTTTGCAAGGTTCATTGACCATTGTGATAGTGATATAATACTAGGAAGAAGACGTTCGAGTCTTTCTGGTTTATTATTACCAGTAACATCAGAATCGAGCATTTCATAAAATTTCTCTGGTATGGAACTTTTCAAAATATCTAGTACCTGACAGGTGCTATGTTTAATATGTTCAGTTTGTAATGGATGTGTCTCAATAAAGGTTTCTAATGGATCTAATTTTTGAATTTCTTTGTCCATCATTTGAAAGCACATTCCTTGACGTACACCACCTTCACAAAAATAAATATCACCAATATCAATGCATTTCATTATAGCATTTATTAAGAAACAGCATGCTGGCATTAATTTAGCACGTCTGTTACTGATACGAAATGGATTTCCATTAGGAAATATTGCTTCTGGTGATGTTTTAAATTCTATTTGTTCTGATGGTGTGAGTGGTTCTATAACTTTTTTCAATTTCTCAGAGGATGTAAAGAAACCATTGATTATTGGGATTGGATAAGAATATTTGCTACCAGAATCAGATTCACTCTCTGACATACACAAATAACCTAGAGAACGAAATCCACCACCACTCATATAAACAGTAAATTTTCCATTAACTTTGATATCTTCAGGGGCACCTAAATTCACAAACCCTTTTTTCAAATCTTCTACGATTTGATTTGATAATTTAGAAAGTTTTTCAGGTGTATTATTCTGTTTTAATAATTTTGTTAAAGCAGCAGCACCATAAGGAAGATTTATTGGTGCATCTGATATTTTGAATTCGGCAGTTTTTCGATCAAATTTCAAATAGCTTAATTCTACGGATCCACCACCCATATCCATAACTAGACCTTCTACGCCATTATAAGTTGCCGCAATGCCCTTTCCAGAAACTATAGCCTCTTTTTCTTTGTCTAATATTAGAACAGGTTTTTGAAATGATTTTTCTATTCTCTCACAAAACTCTATACTATTAGGCGCAGTACGAGTTGCTTCAGTGGCTACAATAGTAACATCATCAATTTTCACACCATAGCTTGTACACATGTAACTAAATCTTTTCATAGTATTTTCTACATTGCGTATTACGTTTTCTGGTATATTAGATTTCTCCTCAGATTTAGAAGAATGTTGTGCTTCAAATAGTGAAATGGGAGCACGTTCTTCATAAAGAATTGGTAAATGTCTGTTCAATGAAGAGACTAAACCAAACCGAATACCATTACTTCCAATATCAATAACCCCTTTTGATGAATTCTATAATAAATTTAAAGTTAAATACAAATTGTTTTTTAACAAAATAAAGTTTTTTTTTATTTTACATACCATTTTTTTTTTTTTTTTAATATAAAGACCATGTAATACTGTCCTTTATTTGGATATGAACACGATCTACACTCACTTAAAAATTTTCTACAAAAAAAAACAAGTTATTTGGTGTGCCAAACAGTTCAAAAGCCGTATTAATTTCCGATGTCACTACATATAAATATTAAAAAGTTTAAATCAGCAAGTTGATTTAATCCTTGTTTTTTTTTGATTTCACCTATAAATTTCTCCATTTGCATTTTATCATTATTATATAACTCTTTATCAATTAAAAGAAAGAATTAGCAAACATTAAATTTAATTCTTTATGATAGCAGCTTATTTAATCCTTTATTTAATATTAAAAAAGAGGTGTGCATCTGTAACAAAGATGAATCTAATATAATCTTTCTAATCTTCTTCTAATTAAACAAGATCACAGATGTTGTTATTCCCCGTGATGGCTCCCCATGACCTACCTCTAATAAAAATCCGATAAATAAATAAAATAAAAGTAATGCATTCTGACGTATACATTGACGTATACATGACAACAAAATTTTAAAATTTAATGGAACGTTTGACCATATAAATGTTGGGAAATTCAAAAAAAATAAACCGTTTGACGTATGCGTGACGAAACAAGAAAAAAATTGAATTAAAAATTAAAAAATTAGAAGAATTAAATTAGTTGAAAATTTTTAAGCAAGAAAACTAAATTAGTGAATGATAAAAAAATAATGCATTCTGACGTATACATACAACAAATTTAATGGGACGTTTGACCATATAAACGTTGGGAATCTGGAAAAAAAAATTTTTTAAAAACGAATAAAACGTTTGACGCATGCGTGACGAAACAAGAAAAAATTTAAAAATTAGATTGAAAATTAAGAATTAAAAATTAGTTGAAAATTTAAACAAGAAAACTAAATTAGTGAATGAAACATTTAAAGATTTATGTTCTCATAAATGCTAAAACGAGCAGTAAGGAAGCATTGACACCCCCTACACACACTAGTTTTGCGTCATCCCATTGGGAGGATGAAGAAAGTTTGTACTGACTGCTGGGCCTAATGTGGGTGGACGAAAGGAAGAGCAACTCATCCCGCACTAACTCAAAATTTATTATACAAAACAAGGTGAAGCTAATAATAAATTTTTTTTTATTCGTTAACTTATAATCATGTGATGATTGACAAAATTCTCTATACCGGATCCTCTCTATAACGGATCTTTTTTCCCCGGACAAATGATCCGTTATAGAAAGAGTGAACTGTATATTGTCACGAGTCGATGAAATATAATTGTTTTATTAATTTCATACTAACCATAGTAGTTATTAATCATGCAATAATAATAATATTAACATTGCCATGTGATGGAATTATTAAGCCATTAGCACAGTGGTAAGCTCGTCAGCAAGAATTTAGAGTTTCCGAGTTCGTAAATAATTTTTTAGATTTGACACGCAACATATTAATAATATATTCGAGAAACTTTATGTCGGGGGCTTTTTTAGGTTTTAATTTTTATTTGAGAAATAGCAATATAATTTATTATAACAGTGATAAATTTGACTTTTTGAATTGATTATCAATTAATTTAACCCGTCATTATGAATGAATTGATCATACCAGTACATATTATGAATGCGGAAATATGACAGTTTTGTATTTTCCGTTCAATGCCAAATTATTAATGTCCCACCATTCATTCATAAATTAGAAAAAAAAATTTTTAATTTTTAATCATTACTAATAATAATCATTATGACAAAAATTGTTATGAGATCTTTACCTATTGTATCCACGAGCAATTCATTTTTATACATGAAAAAATTGTAATCGCATGGTTGAAATTGACGTTATCTCGATCATCTGAAAACTATTTGTTTATAAATATAAGTAAACTTGATATTTTTTTTCTTGTCATTTTTGAAACTTTTTCACATTTAAAAAAAGCCTTTATTTTTGTTGTTATTGTTATTATTATTATTATTATTAATTAATTAATTAATTAATTAATTAATTAATTATAACAATTAACTTCTTTTAAAAAAACATTATAATTCGTTAAAAAAAATGAAGCAAGTTTTTAGTGTCGAAATTGGTCCCGAAGTTGAAGGAGAAACTCGAGTTCGTCGTTCATGTTTAAGTCCAGATGAATTATTGAGCACGCCAAAGAAAGGTATCAAAACACTTTACGATATATTACAACATAATGTTAAAAAATACGGATCGAATAAAAATGCGATCGGTTATAGAAAAGTTGTAAAAATCGTCGAGGAAGAAAAAGAAATCACAAAAATTGTCGGAGACGTAGAAACAAAAGAAAAAAAAACTTGGAAATATTTTCAATTGTCGGGTTATAACTGGTTAACTTACAGTGATTTTGATAGGGATATTGGAATGATCGGTTCTGGTTTGCTTCAACTTGGATTTAGGAAATATTCTAAAATAACAGTCTATGCTGCCACAAGGTGACTCTTTCGATTGAATCGATTGACTATTTTCCTTTTGGATTCATTTTTTATTAATCATCGTTTTTTTTTTAAAAAAATATATAGTGTTAATTGGATGCTTATGGCTCATGGTAAAGTTTAATAATAATATTATATGTTTCGTTATACAAGTGGTTTGATATATTTTATATATATATTTATTATATATATCCATATATCCATAACAGGCTGTTTCACCCAAGGGATGACAATCGTAACAGCGTACGATACACTTGGCGAAGAAGGTCTTGTTCATTCAATGAACGAAGCAGAAATTCATGGAATGTTTACAAACGCAGATTTACTTCCAATGATTAAAAAAATCGCAAAAAAATGTCCACTTCTTGAATGTGTGATTTACGATGGTGAACCAAAAGAGGGGATTATAGAAGAATTAGCTCACATTTATCTAAATATTAGATTCTTGTCGATAGATGAACTAAAGAACTTGAGCAGAAATTCTCCAATAAAATATAACCCACCAGGACCTCAAGATTTATGTTGTATAATGTACACCTCTGGAAGTACCGGTAATCCAAAAGGTGTCTTATTGACTCACGCTAATATAGTTTCAGCAGGTAATATATTGTTTTTTTTTCTTTACATGTTTTTTTTTCATTATTATTATTATTAAAAAAAATTTTTTTTTTGATAGTTAGTGGTGCCGGTAAATTAATTGGACCTTTGATTCGTGATGATGATACACTTCTTGCATATCTCCCTCTTGCGCATGTTCTTGAATTTGTTGTAGAGCATTTATGTCTTTGGTGGGGTGTTCCCATGGGCTATGGAAGCATTCGTACATTAACAGATTCCTCTGTAAGAAATTGTCAAGGTGATTTGCGCGAATTGAGACCATCTATAATGACTGGCGTGCCGGCCGTTTGGGAATCGATCAGAAAAGGTGTTATTACAAAAGTTCAAGAAGGTGGACCAACTGTCCAAAAAATGTTTAAAGCTGCTTTTAAAGCCAAGGGGTGGTTAAAAAGCAAATATTTGCCCACCAAGCTTGTTGATCTTTTGATATTCAATAAAATTAAACTAGTAACCGGTGGAAGGTTAAGATTTGCTTTATCTGGTGGTGCGCCGATTTCTAAAGAGACGCAAGTGTTTTTATGTACAACGTTATGTCCAATATTACAAGGTTATGGCATGACCGAAACTTGCGGGTAGGTTAGATTTATTATTGATTTATTAAACCATTAAAAAAAAAAAACTTAACATTTTTTTTGATTTTAAAAATCATCTAGTATGTGTACTATCCTTACTTTAGACCAATTTTCTTATGGCAGCGTTGGAGCACCAGTACCATGCACAGAAATAAAATTGGTCGATGTACCAGCAGCTGGCTATAAAGCTACAAATTTACAAGGAGAAATTTGGATTCGTGGTCCTGTTGTCACTTCAGGTTACTACAAAAACGATAAGGCGACCAAAGAAACGTTTACCGATGATGGATGGCTTCGAACTGGTGATATTGGAGAATGGAGATCAGATGGGACTTTAAATATCATTGACAGAGTGAAAAATTTGGTAAAGCTTTCTCATGGTGAATACATTGCTCTCGAAAAGTTAGAATCTGTTTATAAATCCACGATTTATGTATCAAATATCTGCGTTTATGCTGATTCATTCCAAGCACGTCCAGTTGCTTTGATTATCCCTGTTGAAGCTCAAATTAAAAAACTTGCAATCGAAAAAAATATTCACGGTTCAAGTTTTGAAGAGTTATGTAAAAACAAAGAAATCACTAATGTTGTACTCCAAGCATGTACTGCAGAAGCAAAGAAAGCAGACTTTAAACCAGCCGAATTTTTATCTGCAATTACGCTACTGAGTGATGAATGGACTGCACAAAATGTAAGGCTATTATTATACTATACATAAATATCATTCATTCATTCGTCATTTATTATATTTTATCCTTCTCTTTAATAGGGTCTTGTGACTGCAGCTTTGAAAATCAAACGTAAAGATATTCAACAAAAATATCAGCACGATATCGATGTGATGTATGGTAAAAAATAAGTTGAAAATTTTTTATATTATTAATATTATATAAACTAATAAAATTAATAGAATTAATAAAGAAATATTTTTTTAGATTTATTTTTTTTTTTTAAAAAAATCATAAAAAAAACCATCAAAAAAATAAAAATAATAATAAATTTTTACAAAAAAAAAATAATAAAAATACATAAAAAATAATATTTATAGTGTGAAAATTAATTTAATCTAAAGTCTATTTATTTATTCTATTGATGAAATTTGATAAAATTGATCGACCTATTTATATAATAAAAAAATATTAGTTTAAAAGCAAGCTTTGACCATAATGATATAATATAATATAGATAATAATAACCTTGGAAATCCAGTCAATCATATCTTGCCTTGAAGTTGCTTGCAATATATATCCATTATTATTAGTATAAATAGCAAATACATTTTGTCTCTGAAGCATATTTTCCAAATCTTTTTTATAATCAACTCTAACAGATCCGAGATTTATTACACCTTGTTCTTCGGTTTCTTTTTGCGATTCATAAATAAATAAGTATGGCCTTTTTTTTAAAAGATAATTTTAAAAATGAATGATTAATATATAGATTATTATATTAAAACAATCAATTTCGTATAATCATTTTATTCAATATTAGGAAAAATTTAACATACCTTCTTAAGACATACCAACGTTTCACCCAAACATCATCTGCATTTTCCGGAGTAAACAAATAACCCTTCTTGGTTATCGTATCGCTTTAGTAACAACGAAAACAATAAAAAAAATCACATTAATTAATATAAATTTATTCTCAATAATAATAATAATAATAACAACAGTAACTTATTAATCAATTAATGGTAATACATACGTTTTGGAAACCATACGGACTTGTGCAACTAATTTTGTAGATTTAGAACCTTTTGATGGACTTAGATCATTGCATGATCCTGAAATCGGTGGTTCTTGATTTATTATAATCTATAGAATAGAAATGTTTTATAGAAATTGACAATAAATATTTTATCTAATGAATAGATACACATATATATATTTCTTAAATTAAATAAAAACCTCTTTGGATATCCCCCATCTCTTTGTCCAAAGTGTTACGGCTTTTTTCACTAAATCAACAGGATCATATTCAACAGTTTTTTTATCTGATGATGCTGTTTTATTACGAGATCCTAATACTGCAATAACTTGTTTGGTGTGTTCAACTGCTTCTTGCCTTCTTATTGACTCGCTAACTTTTTTGAAATCCTTAATTAATAAAACACCGCGTGGTTTCCAATCTTCCAAAAATTCTTCTCCGCGTACGTATTTATTGGCTGTATTGAGACGCCAAAGTTCAGAAATTTCACGTGTCATTGGTGGTTTGAGTGTAACAGAAAATAGTCCACTAGATTTCCATAATACTTTTGATTGATTTAACAATTGTATTAATTTTGATGGTGGTCTTGCTTCACGTCCTTGGATTTGCACCGCAATATCCATGTGAAATGATACGGGTTCTACACATTTTTCTGCTTCAACATACCATGTTAATCCTAATAAAACACGACTATTGGAAGCTGTTGTCCTATTCAAAAATATTGAATCGTGAAGTGTACTGTCCCATGATGCTTGTGCAACAATCACGCTTGTACCATCTCTATTAAATTGAACAGGTTGATGTGGTAGCAAATTCATTTGAACATCGTTCTGGATTGGCGACTCTGACAATCTTCCTTTTCCATCTAATAATCTAACATGTCCAATTTCCATTTTTGGTATTTTACTCCAAGGAAATTGTCTACCAGAATTGTGTGTCAATGTTAAAATTATTCGTCGTTGTAATCCTTGTCTTAAAAAGAATGCACCAGGATCTAGTGTATTTTGTGAAAGTACTTGAACTGGTACATATTCTCCTGTAGGTGCAAGCTCACAAACTTGTACCCAAGCTACAAGGTCATGTTTTTCTTCTGCTACAAGTTCTTCCTCAGAACGACGTTCTCTTTGAGCGATAGAATCGGTGGGTACCTGTCCATTTATACCTCTGTAAAGTGGCCTCTCCTTATGATCATCCCATTTTTTCATTTCCTCTAAAGCACATTGTTTTGCACGCCCAAAAACTTCAAATGTTAACATGTGATTTGTAAGTGTATCAATCACCTCAGGTGTTACTATCAATTTAATTGTTTGTTCGTAATTAAAATTAATTGCCGAATTTCCAAAGTCAGTCATTATATTAGTGGAATAAATTTGTTCATTCGCTATAGATGATGATGGTGATATACTTCCAAATATCGATTTTTTGAATTGTACGTGCACATCTGTAAATTGTGACTCTGAAATACCAGTGAGATCTAGTATTTTGATTTCAAATACAACCATATATCCAATTGACAATTTAGTCGAAGTTTCATTATTATTGGTACTGTTATTAACATTAGTAGTAGCAACGACAGCGCAATTGGCACCAACATTATTATTATTATCATCTTCTTTCTCTTCTTTTTCTTCTTTCTCTTCTTTCTCTTCTTTCCCCTCTTTCTCTTTATCTTCCTTTCCCTTCTCTTCTTTGTCATCCTTGTATTTTTCTAAATAATCTGCAATGTATTTGATACGAATTTTGCAATAACCCAATATATCACCAGAATATCTACAAACTACTGGTGCTTTATGTTCATGTTCAGTTTTATATAGTAAACTTGTTAAACCAATAGAAGTACTTCCTATAAAGGTATAATGAGGTAATGGAGTTTCATAAAATGGGTCTTCCCAATTGAAATGTCTACTATATTGAGGGCGATCTATAAAGTTATACAAATTGCGCATCTTTTGGAGACGAGTTTTAAGTTTATCCAAAGACCAGACATATACAACTCCATTTTTAAAATCAATAACCTTCACTCCTACACAAGGTTTTTTAGATGAGTGCAGTGAAATGTCCTCGTTGTTGTTATATTGACTTAATGCCGATGTACTTTCATAAGACGAAACAGGATTTGTGAATGGTTCATCTTCTATAATAGTAAACTGATAAAGAATTTTTTTACCAAGTTCTTTACTTATAACATTAGCTTCTTTCAATACAACTGCATTACTAAGTATCGTCTCGGCCATAAAAACGTATCTTTGATGTTGCCATTTCTTAATAGCCATCCTAATAAGACGTAATTGTTCTTCAGTATATGTTGGTTCTCCTGGTGACGTTTTACTATAATCTTCGTAAGGAGCTTGTGATATTTTTTTAAGTTTATGAGCTTGAACTTCCATCATCCTACGCATTTCATCTTGAACCATTTTAAGTTTTTCCTCCATCTGTTTCTTTTCAGCTTTTAATTCATCTGCTTCAAGATTCGAAGCATTCATTTGTTTTATTTTGTCTTCATATTCTTGCCTTTGTGTTTCAAATTGTTGTTGCATTTCTTCTTTTAACTGTTTGACTTTTCCTTCAATTTCAGATTCCAACTCACTAGAATAATTTGTATCAGTCGGTTCATATGAACCCATTTTCTCTGAGGTCCTTGATTCTGTGTCGTCATCGAAATCACCACTTCTGCTGTCTGGTCGTTTACGAGAAATTTGGATTTTTTTAATATCATCCATCAATTTTTGTAAATCTTCATCAGGTAAATTTGTAGGGTCAACACCATAATTAAGAGCAACTTCTCGTCTTGCGAAATTCCAATCTATAACAGCTTCAGACATAAGGGATGCAGTGGATGTAGGCGAATCAGGTGCTTTTCCATCATCAGTGCCGGGTGTTAAAGGACCATTTATACTAATACTAAGTTGTTTTGATTTAGCACGTTCCCTTCTAACTTCTTCAGGATGATTAAATCTAAACACATGAAAGTCTCCAAGAATAATACGGTATCCGGACTTTAATCTTTTTGGTTTTTCTATACGCATACCATTTACCATTATTAAACCATCATTACATGGATGTAATGTTACAGCACCATCCTTATTTTCAAAGTAACAATGTTCATCCTGAATTTTTTCACCGCTCAAACGTATATCAGCTTGAGTTTCAGACTCAAGTCTACCAACACGTGTTGTACCACTCTTGATCTGGTAGACTAAACATTCTGACATTAATGGATCTTCGTTGAGATTGACAAGATGTGGTATTTTCTTTGGAGGATGTACACCAACTGCATTTTTCTCTACCATAATACCAAGTTCTTCCAGAGTTTTTTCACGCTCGCGTTGTATCTCTTCAGTTTTACGCATTTTTTCTTGCCATGTTTCCTTCACCTCATCCATCAATTTTTCAGAAGCTTGTATTTGATCAAGTAATTCTTCTTTAGATTTTTTTATCGTATTGCCTTCCTTGTCCGTAAGTGTAACAAATTGTTGAGAGGGCGGAAGGTTTACATCATTTTGTGATTCTCCTATTACGTCACTGATATTTGCATTAGGGTCGATATTAAGTTTGCTACGCAATGCCTGTAACTCTTCTTTAAGTTCACGAATAAGTTTGGCATTAGGATCTTCATTTACGACAGCTTTGTTCTTAATACGTTTAGCCGCATCAGCGTAACGAAGGGTACTAAGAGTTTCATCATAATCAGCAGGCGAAATTGCAGCAATCATAGCAGTTTTAGAATTACCACCTAAGCTGTCCTTCAATAACCAAGTCAAAACCTAACAAAAAAATATATTAATTGATTAATAAATTAATTTTAAATATAAAGTTTATTCATCGAAACTTAATAAATCGAAACTTACCGAGTCTCTATATGGTACAAAACTATCCCCTTTCTTTGCTCCCTTTTTACCCCCACCTGATGATTGTTCAGCTAAAGCAGAAATAACTTTACCCAATGTTGTTAGAGACTTGTTGATGTTTGCGCCTTCTTTTAATCGTGCTCCTGTTGCACCAGTAGAATTTGCACGTTCAGAACCAGCTAAATCTACAAGACTAATAGTAATGATGATAATGAAAAAGGAATTAATAAGCAAAAAATAGTTGATTTATATTTCTAGTTTTTAATCACGTAATTATATAAATTAAAATTTACCTGATGCGAGAAACTTTTTCTGTATCCATATTAGTTTCAGAGTCGTGACGTTTTTGTGTTAATAATAATGTAAACACAGCATGAGAGCGACTTGAAGTTTCATTCATATTTGTTGCTGCCACCGTTCTTGCCTATTAAAAATTCAAAATGAATGGGGAAAAAGTTTATTAAACAAAAAAAAAATTTTTTTTTTTCTCAATGAACAGCTTATAGATAAAAATTATTACCTTATTACCCTCGTCCATTAAATTTTCAATATCATCAAAAGATCTAACAATCAATTTAGATAAATCTTCGACATATGGACCCAACATAGGATGTTCTCTGACTTTAAGATTTCCTTTATTTTTAGGATTTAATAAATCTCTAACACGTTCATTATAAATTTCAATATATGAGACTTGAACTTGGTAAGTCACATTTTCGACGGTGGAACTATCGATTCTTTTAAATAATTCAGCACATGTCAAGGGTATAATTCCTTTATCTTCACCATATCCCATCTTTTAACAAATTAAATATTAAAAATTTTTTTTTTATAAATTAAAAAAAACCATTTCAAAAAAAAAATTATTAGATATATTCCTTACCATAGAATATGATTTTCCGGCACCAGTTTGACCATCTAATCAACAAAAAATAAATAAATAATAAAAATCAATTTAATTGACAACATATATGTATATATATCAATTTACAGAAACTTACATGCAAAAATACAAGTATTGTATCCTCCAAAAGCATGGTTAAGTAACTCTTCGCCAAGGTCACCATATAACATTGCTTGAGTAGCATAGTTGTGGTCATTCTTGTCAAAAGACCAATAAGACTTGTCAAAAGTAAATGCTTTAACATCCTCGGCATCTTTTTTTCCGGTTTTTGCATCATCAGGTCTGGTAATAATAGTTTGATCACCCTCCATTCTAATAAGGCACTTGGCCCCTCGAGCAATTTCTATATAACAAAAATATATGATACAATTAAACACACGTAACTAAGTTTGAAACTCCATTTAAGATAATTTTTTAACGTGCATGTTTTTAATTTAACGGATCAAACCAATAAAATTTTATTATTACCTCTTGAATTTAAAGGACGACATCTGACAACCACTTTGATATTTCCTCCACTCATTTTGATAAAATTAAATAATTACAAGCAAATTGTATAAAAATAAGTAATAAATAAATAAATAGTAAAAGTTTTTGAGAAATAATTTTTAAAAATATTTTTATTATTTACAAATAAAATATTAATAAATAATCGAATTTATTTTAAAAAAAAAAAAAATGTAAATTTTAGTAGTAATGTGTTTAAGAAATAAACATAATTGTAATGTTGAAAAAGTACAAGGCCATAAATCACAAAGGACTTGGCAAAGAAACAAAAAAATGATATGAAAAAAAAATTTTAAATTTTTGAACTAATACAAGGTTTTTTTCGTTGTACCATTTTTCTACGTTTAGAATTTTTTTCAATTATCATGCGCCAATATGTAAAAATATGATCATTACAATTACGATTTCTATATAGAAGTATATACATTGTTCATTCATCGAATACGATTTTTTTACCACCACCAGGAACAATAGCTCCTCGATTTGCAGATGCAGGCGAAAAAGAGTTTACATTATTGTTTCTATTATTACCACCGAAATTCCTACCGTTTCCTCTCCCAAAACTCCCATTAAATTTGCCACGATTACTACTATTACGTTCATTACGACCACCAGCATTACCTAATTTGAATAATAGAAAGAAAAACAATTATGAACAGAATAATGACCAGAACAATAGTACCAAAAATGGACACAATATCAACATAATCAATGTAATCGACAAAATACAAACCAAAATTATTATTATTTTTTTTTTGTTTTGTGTCAGCATAATCAAGTCTGATAGAACGCCCGGCTAATACTGTACCCTGAAGATCCATAGCATTTTTGGCTGCATTGATATCAGAAAATTGAACATACCCGAATCTACATTATGAATTTGGAAAAAATGAATAAATTAATGGTGTCATAATAAAAATGATAACAATGAAAGAGAATATATATACCCTTTAAGACTACCTGTGTCTGGATGTGTCGGTAATCTGATTGAAACAATTTTGCCAAATCCATTGAAAAGCTGGTCGAGTTGGTTTTCATCAGCCTTGAAAGATAAATTTCCAACAAAAATTGTATCAGAAGGTTCACTTAAATTTTTATTAAAGTTTGAACCACCACCCGGTTTCTGAAAAGATGAATTCTTGTTTGATTTTTCATCAAGACGGACAACTATTGCTTTTCCATTAATTTTCTTTCCAGATAATTTTAAAGCATTTTGAGCTTCTTGAGGAGTGGCAAAGTCAACATAAGCAAAACTATAATAAAACCAAATTAATTAATTAATAATATATAATGATAATTATTGATAAGTTTCAAAGCTGAATAATTACCCTTTTGATTGTTTCGAGAATTTGTCATACATTATCCGAGCCTTTACAACATAACCAGCCTCTTTCATTTCTTGTTGTAACGTATAATCATCAACTTCCAATGGCAGTTCTCCAACATACACTGTTTTACAATCTGATTCGATTTTTGGTTTCTTGATCGAATTAGAAAACTCTTCATTTATTTTTCGTTTAACAACCTGTGGCGTTGATTTAATATCTGGAGCTTTAGTCTTTTCTTTCGACTTGCTTTCTTTTTCGTCATCGTCATCATCACCATCTTCTTCTTCTTCTTCGTCTTCTTCTTCTTCTTCCTCGCTGTCCTCGTCACTTTTTTCGTCGCTCTCCTCTTCATCATCACTGCTTTCTTTTTTTGAGTTTGTGATAGTTTTTTTGAGTTTGTCTGGAGAAAAATCTTCTTCGTCAGATTCACTGTCAGAAGAACTATCGGATTCTTCTTTGTCATTTTTTACACCACCAGAAACCTTGGAATCGGTGATTTTTGATTCTGATTCACTTTCAGAGGAATCGTCAGAACTATCCTCATTGTCTTCACTATCACTGGATTCTTTAATCCTTTTTTTACCATTTGATTCTGATTCGCTTTCGGAAGAATCGTCAGAATTATCACTGTCGTTAATACTAGTAGCAGTTGCTGATAGTATTTTTTTTGTTTTTGAGTCTAATTCGCTTCCAGAAGAGGATTCGCCTGTACTTTCCTCATCATTTTCGCTACTATCAGAAGAAACTTTAGAAGCCTTAACTTTTAAAATATCATTGACTTTAGATTTATTATTTTTGTTATTACTTTTCAAGCCGGTTTTTTTTCCAATCATTGTAAAAAAATTTTTTATAAAAAAAAAAATCTAATCAAAAAAATTTTTTTTTTTGTGGGAAACAATTAATTACACGATCAGTAAGTAACTATACATATTTAGTATTTTTCCTGCAGATAGTTTTCAAATTTGTACTAATGCTACAGTGCAAATCGTCTATACTCAAAATGAAAATTGATGTTGCCAGATTTGATAAAAATAAATTAAAAAAAAAATTCTAACCACTAATTTTTACAAAGCAACACTAGAGCTTTCAAAGTTAGTGGCTAGATTTTTTTTTATCTTCAATATTAACCAAGTTGTGTAGGTTTAAAGTAATACCAATTTACATACAAGGTTACAAAAATGAGACCAAGTAAATTCGTGTAACATCGCGTTTTTGATTTATTTTTATCATTTAAATATGCCATTATCAAAAAATCAAATTGCTCAAAGAAAAAATTTCAAAAATCGATCTAACAATTCATCTACAGGTCAATTTGAAGAAAGTAAAGTATCAGATTCTTCTGACTCAGATTTTATTTTATCAGATGAAATTTATTCTTCAGATTCTAGTATTAATATTAGTGATACTGATACAGAAATGACTTTATAACAAGATAAAAAGATCTTGTAAATTTTAATTTAATTTCAAATAAATTAGAAATATCACAAGCTATTAAATTTAGAAGATATGAACCATCTGGTAAATTTACTAAAGCTGCTAAAGATACAAAAAAAATTGATCAATTTTTTAAAAAAAACAATAATGAAGATAATATAATAATATAGATGAAACCAACAGTAGTGAAAATATGAATAAATTGGATGATGATATAAACAGTACTAAAAAAAATTTAAATGCTGATAATATTATGAGTGAAGTTAATAATGATGTTCTAGATATTAATATAGATCTAAGTTTATATGCTAACCCTGCTAATTTTGATGATTTTGATCTATGTTGTGTAATTGTTGAGATATGTGATATTTTTGTGACCACCATTTTTTTTGAGACACACTGTATATTGTGTTTGTGTATCATAATTCATTTTTAATTTTAAAAATAAAAATAAAAATGTCATCAGTCACAACAAAAAAAGCAAAAATAAAAAAAGAAAGCAATTGAGAGGAATCTCAGTTTAAGTGTTGTTTATCATAAGAATGGTGGTGGCATTATCACCACTCATCATCACTCTAGTTTTAATTTATTAAATGATTATTAATTTCGGATATTTTAATTTTGGCAGATGTTGAACATTCTCATGGGAATTCAAATTGGCAGATGAATTTTGGCAGAAAACTACACAATTATAATTACAAGTAAAGACAATCAATCATTAAATCTACCAGTTGAGGTTTTAACTGAAATATTTAAGCATAACAAAGATGATCATGGAATGTTATATTCTTGTATTCTTGTCAGCAAACAATAGCATGATATCAACATCCCAATCTTATGGAAGGATCCATTTTACTTGCTTGACTGCACCAAAATATTAATTAATTGTTTGTTGAAAGATGATAAGAATTTTTTAACCAAAAGTGGAATTAAATTGACTTTCTCATTGTTGGATAAATCACCATTATACAATTATGCAAATTTTTGTACTCAACTTTTTATTATTATACCAACAATCATGAATTTAAAGAACTCATTGAAACTTCCACTTCTACTAGACTAGAAAATATATTACAAAGTAGATTAGTAAAATTTATTTTAAACCATTCAACTGCTATCAGAGGATTTATCATGTTAGATATTAATCTTCATCAAGTATATAATCATCATAGATTTGCCAATTGTTTCAATAGACTTTACAAGTTGGACTGTGAATTTTCCAATGTAAATTATTCTAAATTTATTGGCAAATTGGCACTAAATTGTAAATCCATTCAATCAATTGGTTTAGATTACACCACAAGGGATAAAAAAAATGAAGATAGTTTAGCTCAACTAATCAAAGGACAATGCAATATAGAGGAATTAACAGTTTTTAATAATAATGTGGAGGAGTTTAAGGACTAGTGCTGTAAATTATGATGATGGTAGTAATTGTATTTACAGCATATAAAAAGTGGTTGCAATTACCTTTGCGACCACTTTTGCAACCATCCTTTTTCCCTTTTTGGATTACAGCACTAGTCTTTAGAGGAGTTGGCAGATGATGATGTTACTGTTAATACAATTTTATCAAAAAAATCCAAATAGCAATACAGGAGCATTCAAAATCAATAATTTATTATTCAAGCAATGGTGAAAACAATATTGACCAGACATTAATACCAACACTTGTAAATTTGAAAACAGTATCACTTTCTAACAAGAAAATCAATTATTTGAAAAATGTTTTGCTCCCAAATATCAATTGTATATTTTTATGTGTCAACAATAAGGTTTCAACAGTATTGCAGCCCAATTTGGTTCAATTAAATTCTTTAATAAAGTTTATCGAGAACAATGGAAAAACAATTAAAAACAATGATCCAGTATCTTTGGGGATGCAATTTGAATCAATTGCACAATATTGTAAAAATTTAATAGAATTATCAATACATTATAGAAATGGAGTAGACCAAGAGTTAATAGAAATCTTTAATTGCAGTAAATTAGAAAGTATTGAATTTAGAAATGATAGTAATACCAAAAAAATCAGTTGCAATCAAATTTTACAATCATTGCTTCAAACAGTGCCAAGAAAATTTGAAATCAATAAGTTTTACTTGCAAGGTTAAAAGTCCCAAAGAAGAATTATTTGAAAATTAATGAATAATTGGAAAGGTGTTAAACCTTTTACAATAAAAACACAGCAACAAAATAATACTCTTGAACAATGTATAGCAAGATATCAAGATTTAGGAATTCTAAGCTAAACAATTTATTTTTATTTTATTTTTATTAGATGTTTTGCGCTTATTTTTTATAATGTTAAAATTTTTTCAGATAATATTATCATAATAAACTTTTTAGTTGTGATGCAGAAAGTCATTCTAGATCTATACATACCTTTTGCTTCTGAATATAATTCTAATTCTAGTCATATCCATTAATTTGGTAACTCTATATGAAATATGGTGAACATTTGTCATGATAAAATCGAAAATTATTTTATGTCCATTATGATGTTAATAAAAAAGAATATCCTATATATATACAGAAAGGTTCTTTTTTTGAAATATAAGAGCACCAGGTTACAAATAATAATAAAAATGCCCAAAAAAAAGATGATTATAGTCAGACTATAATTATTTGCTAAATTGTTTCATTTTTATATTATGTATTTTTAATATTATAAAAAATCGTGCTCTAAGTGATATTTCTAATGAACTGGGATGTCAGAAACCAAAACCAAATGAGGCATTACAGTTATTATTGAATTACACTCTCAATTAAATGGTAAAAAAAATTTTTTTTTTCCTTGTATGAATGTACATGAAGAAGGTATATTTCTTTGTGACCAAAAAGATAATCTTTATTATGTTTATGACATACAAAGTGGTGATAAATTCTACACTTTTTTTTCTTGTATTTCATTTTTAAAAGATGTCAAAGGCTGTAAGGGGAAACCATTCTCCATTGGCTATTATTTTCTTAAAACCAATCCATTTTTCTGCTAATACAAGTAGTATTCACCAGGAAATTAATTTAGCATAAACTTGCATAAATCTTATGATGCTGATGTAATATTGCATAAATCTTACAGTGCCAACGTAAGTTTTACACTTTTTTATTATTAAACTTACGATTGACATGTGCAATTTTTTTTTATATTTTCCGGATGTTCTTAGAGAAAAGGAACAAAAAATATTTTAAATGAAAAGAAATTCTCTGTGAAAGAATTTCAGACTCGAATACAACAAAGAGTTCATGAAAAGTCATTATACGCATCAGTTGTTAGCAAAGAAATTTTTGTGGGTGTTGAATTAATGGAAATTGAATATGACAATACAATCAAATGAAAACTAATTATTGAATAATACTTATACACAAAATAGTAATAGGTAAAGATTTTGGTATGGATAAATTGACATTTCAAACAATTGAAGAAATTAAATGGTTACTAAACAAAGGCAAGAACAATTACCCTCAACTGACTCAACCAATTATTTATTATTAGGAGAAATAATAGTGGTGGAAATAGGAGTTTTTGTCTATTTGATAAGAAGAAAAAAATCAAGCAAAGTACGGACTTAATAATATTAATTTTGGTCATGTAAAACTGTTCTTTCTTTTGCAGTATTAATTGCACATGTTTATTACACCAATAATTAAAAAACAAGTTTATTTTTCTTCAAACTTCCTTTTCTTTCTAGGTTCATCATGTCTCCATGTTGATGTTCTTTTATTAGTTATGATTTTTCTTTCCTCTTGGTAAATTTCATAAGTAACCCTTTCTTTTCTTAGATAAGCTTCAAGTGTCTGAGTATCATTTACATTTATTTTGGAAATGTAAGGAGCAAATTTTTCACCTTGTTCTTTCTTCAAAATACTTCTAATGGTGCTATAATTTTTTCTGGCGGTCGCGTTTACTTCGTCGAAAATTATTTCGTCGACAATCATTTCATTGACACCCATTTCGTCTAAAGTTTGTTTCATCGAAAGTTCATTTCGTCGAATCGAATGTTCATTTCGTCAAAAGTTTGTTTCATCGAATGTTCATTTCGTCGAATGTTTATTTTGTCGAAAATTATTTCATCCTCGAGCCAGAGACCGAACGAGTTAGATGTGAGGAGTGTGGGATGTTAGTTAAGAAATTAGGTGAGGAAAGTGGGGCGGTGTGGAAAGTGTGAGGAGAAATTTGTTTAACATTAATATTAATGAAGTTTTTTTTTTGTGACGAAATAATTTTCGACGAAATGAACATTCGATGAAATGAATCAGACCCCAATATATTAATAAATCAACACATTTTTCATAACTTTCCTGTAAACTCTTGTAATAATATCAATATCTTTTCTGTAAACTACATTCTTGTAATGATATCAATATCTTTTCTGTAGTCTCATAATTTTTTGTGAATTTATCTGTAAATATTCTGTGAAAAGTATACAGGAAGTTGCATTTTCCTGTAACATATTTCCGTAAAATTTTTTAATAATAATAAATTTTCTTGTAAATTTTTTTTCATAGGGTATTACCATTTTTTAAAAAAAAATGTTCCTCCTGTATATATCAAGAAAGAATCTATCCATTCCACGATTTTTAACAAGTCTTAAACCTTGTTTAGTTGGAACAAAAAAACATTTTACAACGTTGGATCGTTTTGTGGAATTAACAGACATCCCAACCTTGTCTCAAGTATATAAAAAAGGTGGATTTGATTATCGAAGCCCAGGAACTTTTAAACGTGAAAAATTTTTTTTTTTATATTATTGTGGAATAATTATCTTTTTCTTTAAAAAAAAAAAATAATGTACATTATATTTCAGATGATATAAGTCTTTCTCACAATAAAACTCTTAATGATAAGATATCTTTAATGTAAGTCGATCAATAATAATAAAAACCCTATAAAGAAAACTTATCAAGCTTTTATATTTATACTTTAAAAAATTTTTATATATAAAAGCAAAGAAGACATTACGAAATTGAAAATTGACTCAATTGGTTAGTGATTAGAAAATATGACCATATACCTATGTTTATTGATTTAATCAATAACATATTAATTGTATATTAACATTACCTGAACAACATTATAAAGAATATTTTACACTTTGTGTTTAAATTTGGTATGTAAAAAGCTCACTGATGACTTTTAAAAATTTTTTTAATAACTTTACAATATATGAATAGTTAATGCTGCAAATGAGTTTCTCATGGGAGGAGGAGGAGGTAAGGGATTGAGAAAATTCATCATAATTAAATATATGAATATCTTTCCAAGGCACTGACTGATTAAATGAATAATAAATTTTTTTAGTTGATGGGGCAATTCACAGGTGAACACTCAATTATAATATTTATTTTTAAAAACTTTATGTTATCATTAAAACGTTTCTCAAATAAGAGATGAAAATTTAGAGCTGCAGGGCCAGGATTAAGGAGTGAATGTCAGAAGTTAGGAGGTTGTCCAACTGGTGTATGTAAGATTTAAATATTTAATATTAAAAGTATTTATAAGGTTTAGAAATTAACATTTTAAATGATAATTAATAATTAATAGGATGCTAAAATAACAAAAGGTAAATAAATGATTAATTGATATATATATTTATAGGATAATTCATCTTATCTTACATGCACATGTATCTTTAGGTTATGATTTACCAGCAAAATGTATGTGTAGCTATTTAGATTGAAAATAACTGAAATTCTGAAGTTATTCTATGCTTCCTATTTAATTATTCTACTAATTTAATGTTTAATTATTTAGATATTATTCATACTGTTGGGCCTGTAGGAGAACATGAAGAACTTCTCAATAGTGCTTATAGACAATCATTGAAAGTTATGATTGTCAACAATCTTAAGAGTATAGTAAGTTTTAAAATCACCATCATTCTTCATACTATTCAATCTACTAATAATATAATATATGTGTATGATTTAAAATTTAGGCATTTCCGAATATAAGCACAGGTTTGTTAAGTTGATACAAGTTTTTAATGTTTTATTTAATAAAGTTGGGTCGTATTTATAAGAAATTTTATCAAATATTGTGTTAGGTGTTTATGGATATCCTCGTGTTGGTGCTGCACATGTGGCTATGAAAACAATTAGAAAATGGATGGAGGATTTTGAACATATTGAAAAGGTATAAATAATAACTCAGAATTTAATGAACTTTTTTTTTGAAACTAGGATAAAAATTAACCAAGCTAGATATTTTTTTAATAGATTGATAGAATAATCTTTTGTGTTTTTGAGGAAAGTAATAGAAGAATATATGAGGGATTATTGCCTTTATACTTTCCACCACCACCAGAAGGTAGCAATAATGATACTGATATATTGGGAAAACAAGAAAAAGAGAATGATGCTGGTACAGCAGAGAAACAAGAAGAGGGGAATGAAGCTGATACAAGAAGAAATTAAATCATGAACCACCAGTTAAGGAAAGGATTTAATTAGTGCCAATCTGAGCAAATTTTTTAAATTTCATAGTAACCAATTTTTCACATCCATAGAAAATCATGCATTTATTATGTTACATAAAAAAAATTTTATATCAAACTATATTTACTTACAAAAACATGAGCTGTTAATTTTGTCAGTTTTCTGTTATTTAATGAGTGATCCTGGATTGTGGGTATAAAATTCATACATTTAAATATATAAAATAATTAGAATGTGTCCCAGAAGAATGATATTATTAAATGTAAATTTATTTCTTTAATAACCACAATGGTAGCTATTGATTTTATTTATTTTTACTGTGTTTATTTATATCCAGAAAAAATCAACAGTAATTGTTACATATAATAATAGAGGGAAATTTATGATATTAATTTTAACAGGTTAATAAACTATCATGGATCAAAAGGTGGCAAAACAGCTATATTTAAAACAAGAATTATTGAGGCGTGTAAAGTTGGTGTCTGCAACTAAGAAATTGCAATTTGGGATGTTTCAATCTAGGTCACAACTGGTTGCAGAATTTCAAATCAGTTGCAAATACCAACTTTAGAGGCATGGTAGATTTATTCTTATTATTAAACAATAAACTGATTGTGTCACATGATTATAATATAAAGTTGCAAAAAAATAAGTTTGTTTATTTCTGCCAGTGATTACATAGGACCTATCTGATAATGAATGTTAAATCTGGGCATCCATTTTCCTGGTAAATTTGTGATTATAATTTGAAACTATTGACTATTTTTGGTAGGCTTATAAGAATTTGATCCAAGAACTTACAGTGATTTTTTAAATATTTAGAAATTCATATAGTTCCAAGATTTGCTAACTTATTGTTGAAATTCTTTATAATGGTTGTAATTTGATTTTAACATTTGAATCATCAAATTTAAAATGTTCATTATTAGAGAACTTGATTACGAAAAATTAAATGTCCCATTTAGTAATCTTAGTGATGGTTAAGTATACCAGTTACAACTTTTGATGGTGGTTGCAACCTAATTGCAACCAAATTTTTAATCCTGGCAGATATCTTGATGGGGAATATTCTTTTTCATATTCTTCAAAAAAAAAAGACCTGGTACATATAACAATTACACAAGAGATTATAGGTTCTGAAGATTATATAAAATTCAATACTTCCAAAATAAAAAAAGGATCCTGGGCACCACCTTAAAACCTATTATTTTTACTAGCTATTGCGGGTGTGCAATCCAAGTTTCCTATTTAATAGGTTATTTAGCTCAACACACAGCCTACTTGCTGACTTACAGTCAAGTTTCCTTTAACTATATATATATGACACACAGCCTACTCGCTGACTTACAGTCAAAGATTAATAATAAAAATAACTTTTATCTTCCTGGATAAAAGGGTCCCTAGGTTCTATGAAAATGATTATATCCCAAAGGCATCCCCTTGAGATGTATCTGAATACTTAAAAGGGTTCCCAAATAATAATTAAAGGTTGGCCAGACCATTAACCATTAGAAGGGGGGGGGGGTCAACCACACTGGGTTTATTAGTTACTTACAGTCAAAGACTATTTTATGTAAGGTTATATATTTATT